CAGTCAAGGGAGGAGCACTTGGAGCTATCCAACTGGCACTGCGCACCATCATCGAGAAGGGGGTCCGACCGACACACCTGCCAATTTTCACTGACTCTGCCGCTGCATTAAAAGAATGTCGCTCCCACCACTCCCCGAGCTAGCGAGTTAAGGCAATCTGACGGATGGCCTCCGACCTATTTGCCGCCGGTACAACCTTCAAAGGGTTTTAGATACCTGCCCACGCAGACATCCAGGGTGACGAACAAGCTCACTGAATGGCCCGGGCGCAGCTGGATTTCCCCCGTGAGCCGAGTTGTGCCAACTCACCTACAAGCACATAGGTACCCGCTCCCGCCAGAGCTTGGCGAAGATGGCAAATACTCTGACTACGACCACGAGGAAGCAAAATAACTCGTGAAAGAAGCCTTAAGATAGACCCTGGGGGCATCCCTGACCCCCTACGTAAATCCACTCCCGAGCGGAATGGGCAAGGGATCGACGGTGCTGCTCCCTAGGATAATCACACACTCCACATGCACACCGGCGCAAACGGCGCACTGGAGCACGCCACGCAAATTACCCCAGTGCAGTTTCTGTCAAGACCCAATCCTTCTTGCCGACCAAATCCACCTACTCCGGGACTGCCCGAAACTGGAAGAGATTCATCGAAAACACATACCACCAGACGTCTCCAGCATGGAGGAATGGGTCCATCCTCAGGTCCCTCGCGACAAACGTCGGGCGTTCATGACACCGGTTGTGCATTTCATCCACGATGCGGGGCTAACCGCCTATCTATAACCCATTTCAACCTCCTTCCTTGGCCGTAGATCCAGCCTTGTACGCCACCGATCTCACTCCCACTCTCCCTCCCCAAAAGGCCAATAAACGCTTTCTGAATCTGAGCCACTAATGTTCGCTAGAACCAGTAGGTGACACGAGCAACCACACCCTAAGAAAAAAATGGAGGAAAAAGGTAGCAACGGCGCATCTTTCTCCCTTCTACTGACGCGCCCCCAAGCGGACACGAGAAGAAGAGAGGGACGAGACGTTTTTCTTCTTCTCCAGGCAGACGGGAGAAAGCTTTCGCCCTCCCGGCTCGTCTTCTTTCGGTTTTCGTTTTTCGAGCGCGTCGCGCACGTTGTTTAATAAATGTTGTTGAGTTGATTGAGCTTCAGCGGCAGCGAAGGCCACCTGTAATTCGGTCTTCTGGTCCAAACGTGCAGAACATTTCGGTTGCAATGACGTTTTTACCACTAATTTTATCAAACGAGCAAACGAAGCCGCTGGAAACGGCGAAGTTCCGGGGCAGTGCCAGCAGCGCTACGTACGCTGGGTAAGATGGCCGTTTCTGGATTGCGGGACCCACGCGGAACTACGGTAACGGAACCACGCGGAACTGTGTCGACGTTTTCGATGTTATGGAAATCGCAGGAACTGCGTCCAAGGCAGGCAGGTTTTCCTGCCGGCTGCCTGGGTGCCCTCGTGCTGAGTTCGGTTCTGTTTTCCCGTGCCGAGTGCCACACTGTCATCAACGTGGTTCTGTATTTCTGCGTGCCAGCAACATAGCAGCAACATCGGGATGGCAGTGTTGTGCGTAGTGAACAGAAGACTGGAATTATCGCCGATGTGACCGTGTGTTTTCGCGTATCAGTGGTGTAACAACACGATGAGATGACGTAAACTGTCGGGCATTGAAGCCGCTGGTCGGGCCGTGATCGGAAGGGGTAGGGTGTCGCAGGTTGACATTGCGCTTTACTTTAAAGAGTTTAAGGCCACTTTAGGAATTAGGTGCAGTCGATCGACGTGCGGATAGTCATGTTGGAACGCTGCTCTGAACGGTAAGCTCCTATCGTACAGTGGCCAATGTGGCTGTCGGTCCCCGAGAGCGATTGCGCTCTGGGGAAAAGACTGAACAGTATGAAATTATGACGGAAAGTATGTATATTTACAATGGAATTTTAGCATAAAATAAGGTAAAATTAAAAAAAAAGCTCTTCTTTATTATGCTGTTTAAATATACTATACGGTTCGTGGAGAAACTGCCCTCCAAGTGGCGCGCTGGGATGGTGTGGGGGGTAGTGTTCCGAGATTTTTGAGGACTCGAAGGAAAAACGTCTGACTCCGTGTTTGTACAAAACGGTTCTGCTTATTGTCCTCTCGGGCGGCAGCGCGGAAGGGAACGAGCGGCGAGCCCCGCGGGGGCCCGGTTTTATGACCCTCCGCTGGTGCTGCCGCGTTCTCATTACTTTCACCCCGCGAGGGAAGAGGCCGCGCTGGTCTTGCCGCGCGGACCCCACTTCTTGCTGGTCGATGTGACTGGCGGTGAGGAGACCGCCACAAGCGCAAGACGTTTTCGAGCTCGCCACGGCGTAGCTCCGTACACTTAACACCTACCGCAAGTCGCGGCTTTGACTGCATTCAGGTTGATCGAAAAGCGATTTCTCTGCCCGTGAAGCATCACTTCCAGCTAACTTAATGTCCGCTCTCTTCAGAGATTAATTCAAGACGGCAATTGCAGCCGTGCGCGAACAGCACAAATAGAAAAACAAACACTACAATGAACATACAGGCTATGAAGTGCTGTGCGGGGAAACAAACGCATGGTTTAGAACCACATTGGAGCAGCTCGATTTATTCGTTTTCAAATAATTACGGCATGATCGAGCGTTTTCTTTTTCATAAGAGATTCATCCCCTGGGCCATTAAAATACTCCGTGATGTATGACATTGCTGGAAAAAAATCGACATGCTTGAAATACTTTTTATTGCTTAGGGAGTCACCGAGAAATTCCGTACGTTCAAAACGACCAAACACGGAAACGCAGAGCTCGGGGTAGTGATCGGGCTAGTGTGTTGTTGTATTGATTTTTCTATGTGCGATGCATGTGATTGTGCTCAGTGCATGTTCAGCTGATGCTTGTAGTATGAGTAATACGTCTACACGTGTGTATAATAGAGGTTCCCGAAGATCCCGAAACGCAATGATGGCGTGAGAAAATAATAATATTTTTGTAGAACATGAACTTGGGCGGTACCTAGCGCCACCTAGCCTAGCTACTTGTGATTACTCATGCTTGACCCTGCCATCTGGTGGCAAGCGATTTAACCTCCTTTTACGCTACGCGGCTACGCCATGATTTTGTGTTACCGTGCTGAGGTAAGCCAAGAGGTTGCTTCGGATTCGCTTTTTTTTAGAGCGGCTTTTGGTTTTGCGGCCGAATGATTTTCACTCCTTCATCATGTGCGGTTGACGCAACGCTTGACGAAGGAATTGTGGCTCGAGGAATAGCAAAGGTAAGATATAAAGTGCGCGAACTGGGTGCCGGTTGTCTCCGTTTAACATCGCAGTGCTGACGATGAGAAGACTTAGTGACGGCGTGCTTTCGAAGTAAGTTTCTTTACCTGCAGGACGAAGCCGGCTTCGGAAATAAATCCAGTACGCGGAAAGCTCGTGTTACGTTTTTATTTGCTGCTCCTATCGCTCCGTACAATAGACTTAGTATTCTCATTAAGCCTTATTGAGCTCGATTTGCTCGATTCGTGGCCGCCATAATAAGATGCAGGCTAATAAAACTTGAACTTGGGTTTGGGCTAGTTGGTTGTAGATGCAGGCGACCGAGGAACTTTTGCTCCCCTGCTTTAGGGACGAAAGTTTCTCCCTTTCTGAAGAAACATATGTGTCAAGAACGTTCCTCCCTTTAGGGAGGACTATACTGACCCTTTTTTTGAATGCACCCCATTCTAAAGCACAAAGCTATCGCGCATCCAGCCCTCGTCATATTTGGCTAGGTACTTGTAAGTACCTAGTAGGGTACGTAAAAGTGTTGGACAAAATACTCGTTAAAGTGTATAAGTTAAGTTACTAAATATCTGCTCCATAAAGTATTTAAAATACTACTCAAGTTACTTTTGCTGTGAAGTATCTTGAGTAGAGTGTTGCGCAAATTTGGCTTACCAGAAAGGTTTATTAGCACGCAGCAACACAAAACGAAAAAACAACAAAAAAAAAAAAACATTGTAGGGCTATTTTATATTGTCCAACCATGAGGAGTAAAATAACACTGATACGTGTTACAACACATTTCTGAGTAAAAAAAACGTACACACACACACACACAAAACAAAGAGGTCGTTTTAGTTATTCACAACTTTCAAGACTTATAAGGGGCGCGTGGTGCCTAACAATATGGCTCTCATCTGGATGACCGTCGTAGAACAGCTGTAAGAGGCGGAGTCTGCGACGCATAATTAATCCCATTTTTGCTTAACGAGCAGTATATTAGAGCCTTACTTTATTTTTTCCCGTCAGGAAGGTGTAGGCAAGCACCTTTCTTGTGAAGCCGATCATCCAGGAGGTAGCGAGCGCGATTCTCACAACGTGGTACCACCATGCTGAAAGTTGCATTGTGTAACTACACTTCACATTCCCTATATGGAGAGTTCACTATAAACGAACTTGGGATAAGAGCCGCCTTGGTGGCTCCGAGGCGAGAGCGCCGGCCTACGGATCCCCGTGTGGCGGGTTCAAATCCAAGCCGAGGTGCCCGCAATATGACGGGGGCTTCATTATTACGGAGAAGGCGCTGACTCACTGATATCAATTGATTTTTCAATCGGGTGTTGGTTATTTTAATATTAATCTAGGCGAAACTAAATTGCAATATTTGACCCGTGGAAGCTCTATGGCTCCTGTCACCTTACAAAGTACAACAAGAGACGCTAAAAGCAATTTTAGCCAATCACATGCCACGTGACTGCCCGTTGACTTACCAGAGATCGGAAGCGAAGTGCGGGATACGAAGTTCCTTGATAAACTCAGAGTGTTGGTCTGGCCGAGGTGGCTGCTGAAGCTCATTACGGTCCATCGTCAGATGAGACCGAGAGAAAGGTGATACTAAAAAGGACGCCATTATTTTCAATATGCGAAATCAGGAGGTGTAGATCTTCAATGCTATAGCATTCAAGACTAACTTCGCGGCCATGTACACAAACGATCTACACAAATGTTTTGTCTTTTATTTCTCTTTCCCTGCTTGAGAAATGCAAAGGTCTCGTTTTCCCGTTTTGGTGTACGACTGAACGTAGAAGTTAATGAAGAGTCCGAGCCCCATCAAGGATTGTGGAATGGCGAGCATAATAAGTGCTTTGGGGAAACCACAATCGTACACAAGGGGTATACACGAATGCAGCGTGAGGAAGACGATCTGGAAGATCTGCAGCCCCGTGAGGTACTTCTTCCACCAGAGGAACTTCGCAATTCTCGGTCCAAGTGACGAGAGAAAGTAGTAGCCGTACATCACGACGTGGACAAGTGTGTTGAAACACAGAACCATGATCAGGTGACCGCTACCTCCAAAGGTGAGGTACACCCAGCCATTGAGGACAACTAGGAAGTGGTGAATGACGTGAAGAAACGTAATATGAGAGAACTTTTTCGTCGCAATGAAGAAGAAGGTATCCATGAAGTCGGCGATGCGCACAAAAAGGTAGAGCCAGGAAGTTTCCAGGATGCGTATCTCGTTTTCACTGTTGGAGTAGTCCAGTCCTTGACAGAACACACTGTAGTTTCCACCGAGGTACGTGTGACGCATGTACCGCACGAAGAAGAAAGCGTTTGCGATCACCTGAAGCAAGTTATAGGCCATGATGGCCCACTTGAGGTTGTAGGGCTTCCGGTTCGCCATCCATCTTGGACCGGCTCTCTTAACCACGTAGAGGTAGCCCAAGATCACTGGCAACACAAACCTCAAGTTCGCTGTGTATCCCCAGCCGATCGTCCTAGGGTCCCGCAAAGACGCAACATAGCTGTATTTCTCACTTAGTTCTCTCGCCAGTCTAGATGCCGTTGTTATCACCATCGCTGTCCGCAAGAAAGACAATTGTAGTGATATTTGACTTCAGAGCTAGCCGCACTTCTTACTAGGTCTCGACGTAACTTCTCACAGATCATGAATGACCGCTAGCCGTTCGCCGTGTCATTTATGTATATCTCGACGCCTCGCAGTTTCTTGGAATTGAGGAAATAACGACGTGAAATGTCACTTTTGGAGAGGCCTGTAGCGTCCTTGACACGAGGGACGGTACGAGTAAACACTACTCAGGAAATCGCAACTCGACGAGGTTTTTATGTTTAGGCACACCATCGGGGTGAGCAACAGATTGATTACTGTTCAAGACGGCGAGCGTTCATCACATAATTGATTCCGGGTTTTTCCTCCATCCAAACACAATTGGCTGCGCTGTCATGCCTGTTTTGTATATTAATGTGGGCAGCTGTCTGTAAAATTATTTTGTCCTGATTCTTTTTAAAGCCATACTTTATAGGGGGTTTCAAGTTTGATCTTCGAGAAATGGCTAATTGATTTTAGCGCATGGTGGTATATAATTTTTTTTTTAATCTTTACTAATTTTCTTAAGAAAAGCCGTTAAAATTACGATGATGCGCTCTGTGCGGGTGTGTTATGCCACCGGGCGAACATGATCTAGAAAGCCAGTTGTCACGGGAAGTCCGACAATCACCTACACAATTTAATTACTTTTGTAATTAGTGAATGTAAACATAAGGTTCTAATTACAGTTTTTTTGAGCCTCGTCGAACACCATTAGTAACTTTGAGAAAACGTTTGAGCGCGCGGAAAGCGGTGTAGTGCACTAAAGACACCACCCGTACAATATACGCGAGGCTGGAGACGCGAAAGCGCAGATGATAACAGACGGAAAAGCCTCACGGGAGCGTTTATACACACATGGTCGCGCTCAATATTTTTTCTTAATATTTACTTATTTACAGGTGTCTGATGATGGATAATATGTATCTAAGGGGAACCAAATATTTACTTTCACTAAGAAGCTGATTAACGTGTTTTAGTTAATTGTAGGATTTATGGTGAGGATTCGCTCCCTATAATATGTCTCACTAGCTGCAAAACTCAGCTGCACAGACCGCATTATTCTAACTTTCACGAATTTCTTAAGAACAAGCTGTAAAAAATTTTAAACGAAAATGTATACTGAACTGCTATTTGTTTTTTTCTGATCATCACGTAAGACTCGTCGTGGAATACAGCGGCAGAACTAATCCATCGTTCTGAACCATGACCATATTTATTTATTATTTATTTATTTCAAATACTTCCAACACTTGCGGGTTATAGCAGGAGTGGATACAGTAATACATAACACAAAATACAGGTGACACAATAAATAATACATATAACAATAATTCTCACTGGTGCAACTACTCGTCAGCAAACCAGTTCGTCAACTTTTATTCAAATTCTTCAACAGAAGTGACTTCCGAAAAAACACTTGGGGGTAATCTGTTCCATTCTTCAATTGTTTTGACAAGAAACGCATATTTAGAAACATCAATATTGGGAATAAATGGGTCAACTGACAATTCGTTGTTTAATCGTCGAGACCGTCTTCCAGGAGATCTGATAGAAGTTTGCACGTCAATATGGAGATACTTAAAATACAACAAATAAAAAAAACTTCAGCCGCACAATTCTTAGTCTTGACGCTAAGGAGGGTGATTGGGGTTCCCTCAACAATGTCGAAACAGACTCGTGTCTATCGTATTTAGAAAAAATAAACCTTGCTGCTAGCCTTTGAATGCGCCCCACTTTATCTATTTGAGTTTGTGCTTGGGGTCCCATATTATCGAGGCTTATTCCAATGTTGGGCGCACTAGAGGTTTATTAATGTTGGTCCGGATATCGGAGTTCGTTCCTCTGAGAGATCGCCTCAAAAAGCAAAGTTTCCTATATGCTGAATTCCATACATTTTCAACTTGCGTATTCCAGCTGCGATCACCCGAGGTAGTAATACCAAGATACTTAACAGTATTAGAACGTTGCAAGAGTATACACCATCCATTTCATACGAGAACATCAACGGAAACTTCTTTTTGGTTAAGCTTAAGACAATAGTTTTATCAAAATTAATTCGCATATCCCATTTTTCACACCTGTGAAATATAGTTGTCAAGGGGTCATTCATTAATTATTGAACATCTACAGTTATTACTGATATGACTCCAGTTCGTTCCGTGGACGGTTAATAACGATCGCATATAATAGGGAGTTTTCGTAGACCGCGGTTTTCCCTCCGCTAAGCCCTCCGCAACAAAGGAGTTGCTACTGCGCCTGCGCGCCGATAGCCTTGACTGTAGAGTTCCGGGTATCGAAGCGAGTTGCGGAGGGCCGTTGCGGGACGGCGTAAACGATCTACGAAAACTCCCTATTATTTAGCAATACGTAGAGCTGGTGCGGTTTCCGTAGCTTGAGTGACAATTTCTCGAGTGCGCTTCAACGTCGACCATCCTGAACAAGCAACTCGCCCAACCGGAAGTGTGAATATAAAAAAAAAGTCCTTGACAGTTTCAATAGCGCTCGCTTGGGTTATTGGGTAGACGCTTGTCGCTCTGTGCGTTGCTCCTCGGAGTCGAAAGGGCCTAAAAGCAAAATTTCATTGGCGGTGGAGAGCGGTACCCAACTCACCTTGTATTTTTGAAACTGTCAGCAAGTTTAGTGATGCTGTAACCTCAAATACGGATCACGATTTCCGGCATAAGTCGGTGCTCTGGTTGCACATTAAAATTCCATTCACCGAGCGGACATATCCCCGAACAAGTTCCTACAATATCGGTGACGTAACCTTTTTTGCAGCTCAAAATCTGCCATGTTGCAGGCAAAGAAAGCATGCAAATCTCTAGAGCTAGTCCCCGGACAACATTAACGTGTCCGTCGACAAGTCCGAGGATCTGTAAAATGTTGTGTACAATGTGTGTAAACGTCATAAGATGGGTCCTAGGACCTGTCATACCGCAGTTATCGAGATATTGAAGCCGTTCTATTGTTGCTTTTCCCTGGTCCGACAAAGTTCTTGCCAGGTCCGGGGACTCAGCTAGCTCGGTAACTCGGTAGGATCCAATCGCGTCAAACTGCTCGTGAAACAACTGGCTGCACGCGCAGTTTTTTCCTTTCCTTTCCTACGGACCACTTTCAGCGTGTGTTTATATGACTACCCTAGTTTTACGAGCGCTCTCAGCTGCCATTGAGTCAAGGGCAGATCACCCAATCCGGATCGGCTGGAGTTTCATGGTGGCCTCAGCTGTCATTGTAGCCGCTAATGATCAATGATTTCAACTGAGCTGGCCTATGCTGGGGATCACCACAATAAAACTAAAGTTGGCGGCATCCGCCCCAGTGCCGCCGATGTCTAGCGTCAGCGAAGCACAAATTATAGCAGAAGACTGGGGTATGTATCTCAAAAGTATCGCAGCAGCAAATATTGTTGAAAGAGGCATGATTCGGGGCCAGAGCTGCCGATTGTAGGACCACGGCACATCGCGTGAAAAATTCATGTGTGTATGTTTTTACAGCCGGAAGTTAGTCTGCCATCGTGTGCGTCTGGTGTCTCAGCTGTAGAAGGGCAATTTAGACAGTGCGCTACAACTGCTAGCCTAGTGACTTTAAGGTGCACCAGGCACTAGTGATACACGACCGCACGCTGGTGCGATGCTCATCGAGATCGAAACGGGAGGGGTAGGGATAGAGCCCAGGATTCCTTGATTCTGCAGTGCGAGCTTTCGCTCCAAATGCTCCGAGCTGGTGTGCGCTAGCCCACTCAGCCACCGATGCCACCTGGCCGGCACATCGCTATGGGGGCTAGGAGAGGGAGGCGTCAGCATCGCACAGCTTGCTCGGTGTGCCGTGGCGCCCTAGTATAGACATTTTCCACAGGAGCGCCACCATCTTGAATTGTCGTCACTTCCAGTATGGGTGACGACAAAATAGTAAAACGTTTCAATTTGTAACTAGTAAAAAAATAGAGGGGAGCCAAAACAAGAATGTGTGACAGTTAGGCTTATATCCTAAATGTCTTCTATTTGCGTGGTGACTGCAAAACAATGTTTTCGCCCATACTAGAAGTGACGACAATTCAAGATGGCGGCGCCCTTGCGGAAAAGGTCTATAGACCTTTGTCCGGAAGTGCTCTTCTTAGCCTCGACCGCAAGGAGCAAAAGCGAACAATAATCTCGAACCCAGACGCTCACGGGGAGGGGGGGCTGCGTCGGCCTGCGCCGCCGCTTCCCGTTGAGGGCTTCTTCGCTGGTGTGCCGACTGCCGTTTCGCCTTCATCGGTCCTGTTTACCGCGGTATGTGAGTATAGTGCCCGTAATGTGAGAGCCGTGTGTCCATACGCCACTTTGCCGCTGTTGGTTTCCATCTAGCCGAGCCAGAAAACATCTCGCGACGAGTTGACCGCGCCGCGAGTGACGAAGAAGAAGCAAACATGGCGACGGTTTGTGCGATTGCTTTGGTGGCTCCGGTGTTGAGTGTCTTCAACGTCCTCGTGAAAAGGTTCCCCTGCCCTTCGAAGTTATTGCAAGCACCACGAAAGATATGGAATCATCGTCTCAACTACAAATAAGCAGGCATTCACAAGCAACAACGGTGCCGAGCAGGCGCTCGGCACAGTTGTGTCAGGCTCACGCAGCCAGCGGCACAGTTGTGTTGGTTGTGTCGCCAGATGTTCAACAACGCCGAGGTATTTTCATTTATCATTTGGAATGGCTTCAAGAGTGGGAAATTAATCTATTTCGCGGATTGTTAAGGCCGAGGCGAGTGCCCTCCGTTGCAGTGCCGACGTCGCGCAAAGTGCAGAGAAAACCGGGTGGCGATGGCGGCGGTGCTCTTTGATCTTGCGCCGTCGGGTTCATGAAGTCCGGAGTAAACGTACGTACGTGCGTCTGCTGGATCGGTGTTTTGGAATTCCTCAAAACTCTTTCTCACGCGCATTTTCCTTGTGAAGCTTAGTAGCTCATTACACCTCATCGTCGACTGCGCTCATT